AAAAAAAAAAAGAAAAGACCCTCCAATACAACAGAGAAGCAGGTCATGTTTCTAATTCTCATTTTCATCACTCAGACTGACAAAGTCTGGCGGTGTGCCACTGCCAAACGAACGCGCCATAGTAAAAGAATCGCTGGGTAGTACATCATTAATAGAGCGCTCCAGTGAACCATCGGTGTCAAGTGATGCATCAGCCCCGCGTTGTGCAGTGAAGCCAATTGAGCGTTCCAGTGAGTTGTCACTCCTAGGCGAAGTCCCTGCGAGGGACAAAACAAGACTGTCGTATCTATCAGCGTCTTTTTTAGGCGGCGTGCGGGCCTCGTCATGCGGCACTGTCTCCTCAGACGCTGTCAGTCGACGAGTTACGGTCAAGACAGAAGCAACGCTATTGTTACCACAGCTACCCGACCTTGAACACCGATGCCGCTTGCACTCTGTTGCACACTCCCCATATGAGAGGTTCCTACTCAGTGTGTCGTCAAAGGTAGCTAGTCTGCTGGCGAGAACCGTATCGGCCTTCGGAAGGGAAAGCGACAGCCTGGAGTCCGAAGAGAATATGCTGTCTTCAGCTATGAGGGCATGCGTTCTAGGTGTATGCAAGGTGTCATCGTTTACACTGGGCCTGCGGACGCAGGGAGTTAATGACATCACTTTAGAAGAGTCTCGGCACAGTCGATTAAGATGTAGCATATGTCGCGATACCTTCTTCGAAGGTTCCCAGTGGAGGAGCTCTTCGCGGATAGGCGCTCCATAGACACATTGAATGTGAATTTCAGTAAACTCCGTGAACTCCTCGTTTGCGATGAGATACCGACCCCTTCGTTCTTCTTGGAAGAGCAAATGCATCTTATAATGAATTTTAACAGGCATCAAGTTCCGTAGAATCTGTTTTGCTGTCAAGCCCTTCCATTTCACCTCATATTCCACCACACTAGGACGTTTTGTACTCCCGTGGAGAGATCCACCCCTCCTCTCCTTCACGGGTGCGTTCGCCATAGCCACAACATCACCACCACCACCAGCAGCACAAACAGAAGTAGCCACAGCACCGGGCACAGACGGCGGGAGGTTCTCCACGTCAGCGTGACGCACTGAACAGTCCTCCAAAACCGGATACAAGCGAGGTATTGGCTGCTGCTTTGAATAATTGGTTGGTATAGGTGCTTCACTGTAGGAGCCACTACCATACAGCGTAAGACTTGTTTTGGTGCTCACGCTCATCGTCGTACTATTGGTTCGTTTTCTCATTGCTTTTTTTTTGGCTTTATGTTCCTGCTGTAATTCTGGTACGGACCCCCTTTAGATAACACAGGGGAAGATACGTCAAGTCAGTGGTGAGCCACTCCGCAACACAACCAGACACAACCAGACACTTTCAGATACGCTTTCGAATTAATTTAAGCATGAGAGTAAGACAGACGCACGCCCGCAATCTCCACAGAAATAAGATTATTCGTTACTGAGGCAATGCGCAAATCTCTACCGATGTGGCTCGTGATACTGCTGATTCCTTGTCTACCAAAATAACGGAGATGCTGGAGTTGGAAGATAATCCTCTTCCTTTTGATGGCGACAGCGGGACAACACTCGGACATGACGCCGCTGGCATGACAGCGCTGCCGCGTTCTATAGTCATGGTGACGTTTTCACCATGTGTGGCTGAAGGCACTGTAGTCGCTTCCAATGTATTCAAAGGACATACTGAAGGAAGCAATGCGGAGAAAAAGTCTCGCTTGAAGTACCTCACCCGAATCTTATTACCCTGGCTGGGACCACCTCCCTTTTTGCATAAGTGGCAAGTAACTGAGTCATCATTGAAATTGCAGGGCTTCTCAACAACAACCATCGTTGTGCTCCAAGTGGTTTCATCTGCTGCAGAACCACACGACGCGGCGAGAGAATTCCAGTACAGGTTAGCAGCCGCAGTAACAACTGCAGGTGGTGGCAGAGAGCACAGAAGCATATTCTCACACTCCCTTACCTCCTCCGTGCTCTGATCCTCATTATTTATCTCCGTGTAAAACAGAAATCGTGTAACAGCACTCTTCAGCCCCCGCATAACAGCGTTATGGTGGGCATCAGTTATCTTACTTCTATACGGGTTTGGATACCGCTCAAAGAAGGGAAAGCGACGGGGTTCATTAATCGGCATGTTGGCTGAGATGTCGTACGGAAAGACAAGCGGTTCTACGGAAATCTTCGAGAAGTCAAACGCCTCAAACTCAAAGCGGCGGTTGAGCCCCAGTGGAGGACCCTGCTGCACCCACTCCACCACCTGGAGGAGTTTCGGACGCGCCCACTCCCAGAACTCGCTGCTACGCCGCACACGCCAGGCCACAACCTGACAAGCGGGCCGATCAAGATATACGAAAAAGTCGCATTCATCGGCGTCAGCGATGGCCATTTGACCCTGCATCTGGCAGAGGTAATGCAGGGGAATGCCAAATGGCTTGTAGCTTGGCTTGGATCCGTCGTATAGAGAATTAAACGGTGATTTAATTTCCAGTAGACGGCACTTACCTTTTGGAGGAAAGCATGCAGGGGATGTTGTGGCATCATTCTGCCGTCTCCGTTTCGCCGTAAACGGTATCCTTACCCCAACAACACCTCGCGGTGAGCTCAGTCTTCGTTCATCTGTCATGACGTCAACCGAACCACACAGCGACGGGTCGGTGTCGTAAAATATTCGCCCGTCTGGCGAACACCCAAGCAAGGAGTCCTCCGCCAAGAAGAAGCCACCGTCACTGACAGCGCTGCCTGTTAGAAGCTCATACAGCGCGCGTGCCTTGGGCTCCGTTTCGATGCCGTGAGCGGTGCTGGCGTTTCCGGTAAACTCCTTGTCTGTGCCAACGATGTTGCGCAGGTAATCCACGTAATCCACAACGCGACCACAAAAGCCAAGAGCCATCCCAAACTGCGATGCACTGAGGCCAAAGTGCACCTTACTCTTCCATTTAATTTTGTCGGGGTGCTGTGCCATAGTCTAGTGCTCCCACAAATCCAAACGGGGAGTTAAATCAAAGAAATATCTTTAAAAAAAGTGGCAATGAAGCCCCTTTTCCTGTCTTCCTCCACATCACCAAACAAAGAAAGAGAAAATGAGGGAGAGGCACAAAGTTACAAAAGGAAAAACCATCAGATATTTGAAACAACCACTACAAGAAACACAAGGTAGCGCTGGTGCTATCGTTCGTCCACAGCAACCAGGAAACAACTACACCCCAATCAAGGAATGCAATATAACTCTCAAGGGCAGCGCGCAAAATGGCCTTGGGAAGTGCAGCGCAGGATTTTTCGACGGGAATTGCATTGCATGTTTTCCCCTGCTTCCTCCTTGCTATTCCGCAAGACCTCCACGCGTAGCACACTTTGATTCCCCCCGGACCTCCACACGGAGACAAGAGGTGTGACAGACACTTGAAGGGAAAAACTATTCGCCGCTTCCTTTATCAACTCCTCAGGATCCAACGCAGATTCATACCAACGCGGCGGCTGGTTCGGTTTTCTCTTGATAGGGGCACGAAACCTGGGAAGGCTGATGAAAGTGGCAACAGAGGCACTCTTGAGAACTGCGATGAGCAATCGTTGAAATGTCGCCTTGGTTGGGGTGAGGGTAAAGTGGTCAAATAGTGAAACTGCAATCTGGTAATCTGCCAATGTATGTCTGCTCCCTATACCACCTAAGCGAAGGAGTGACATCTCTGGTGACACACACACGGAAAGAGGCGGATCTGACACCACATCATCCGGCTTCCGTAGCTCCTTCCACATTTTCTCAATGTTCTCTGAAAGCTGCACAGGAGACGGACATTCAGCCGTTTTTTTAGCAGAATGCCTGCACTTGTCGAAGACAACGCTTGTTACAAACATCTCTGGCAGAAACTTAATAAGAGAAAGCGTAAAGTATCCATCGTTAACGTCGTACACTAAAACCTGAATGCGTCTGCCTGACCCAGGAGATGAATTGTGTGGAACAGGCTCGCCTTTAGGGTTGTTGGTGCCATCAAGGCGTTGAATGTCAGCACGGATGCTACGGTAAATGTACACCCACTCGCGAAAGACAGCTAGACGGTTGTCTCCCCACGGGCTCAAGAACGGAACAGGGACATTCGCAGAAATGTTTTTCAGGTGCTGCATGCCATGTAAATCATGCTCATCAGTGGTGTTATCTGCATCATGCATTACATCAGAATGAGAAATAACGGCCGATTGAGGTGCCTTGGGCAGCGGCCAGTTACCAATGGTGAGGGAGATGATAAAGAAGAGCGCTATAAAAGCGGCCACCACAAAAAGCTTCTTCTTCGGCACATGCGTAATATGGGAATCACAGTGCTGGCGTGCAGACCTCATTCCACCATGCCCAGGCACTGAAGTGTTGTCACAACGTGTTTCTTGTTAGACTGCGAAGGAGCCTTTGATGAAAAATAAGAAGCAGAGCGATAGATAGGCGAATTAACAAGCGACACTCAACCGGGCCACTAGGAGAGCAGGGGATAAGAAATACTCGCACACACATAGACACAGAGAGAGAAAGAAAACGAGATGGTAGGATACCGACAAACACAAGTGACAGTTCCATATGTCAGTCGTTTAACTCCATGCCAGAAGCAAGAAATGGAACCGCAAGCCTTTTTCACCAAAAGAGGGAAAACAAGGTCCCATACAAAAACTACAACTGTGGGTTGGTGCACTGATTGTGATGGGCTCGTTCCTTACACCCATAAATTTCACGTCTTTTTTCGCAGCCACATGGAAGTCGTCTGTTCTCTCCGACCAGCTCCACCCGGTACAAGCCACGGTGCCACCGAATCCACGGCACCTTCGCAATGGAGGTGATGCGCGCGGTAAGATTATGCGCATGTACCGCTTCCCCAATAACCTTGGCAATATCTCCACCAGACCCTTCGTACCACCTCTTAAAATTCTTGTATCCTACCTGTTTCCGGATCAACTCAGAGTTGTCTCCCAGTACAGGTAGCTCAATGAAAGTGGCGACATTCACATTCTGTAGTAGCGCCACCAAAACGCGCTGAAACACTTCCTTTTCCTTTAGTTCAAACCAGTGGAAAACACTGAGCACCAGCTGGTAGTCAGAGCGCAGCCCAGCCTCATTCAATTGGGTAAAGTGCTCGGGTTTCACAAGGGTCTGGCATATCTCAACCTGACGCGCGGCGTTGTACCGCTCAATGAGCTGATCCTGCAATGCCAGGACGTCACCACCTTTCTTCCATATCTCACCGCCCACGCCTCCCAACTCCACCGATATCACGTGCGCGTTGGGGAACATCACGGCGAGGTTGAGGGAGAAGTATCCCTGGTCTGAGCCGTAGTCCACAATGGAGAAGGGCCGTGACGGTGACAGAGTACCGCTGCGAATGTCGCGAGCAATACTTTCCTGCAGAGCTTCCATGCGGTGAATGTTCCGCTCCTTGTTGTAGCCCCACGGCTGCAGTGGAGAAGAGATGCCACGCGTCTGGGGCGGCTCTGCCGACCCAATCAGCAACCACAGGGCAATAAGCATTAGGAGCGCCAGCGCCACACAGCTCCCACCATGTTTCCTCATCCTAACCCACCACAGAGGCCGCCGGTACCCCATGGTGTGCCCTGTGTGTTGGACTCCATTCAACGAAGAGCAGCAGAGGGAGAGGAAGACAGTAATGTGAACGCATTGAGACCCCAATACAATTTGTGTTGCCACAACGAAGACAGTGGATGAGGCACAGTCGAGTTGCTGCAGTTGCCTATACTTCCCATTTCTTTCCCGCCAGCATCTAGAAGTACGTCTGTGTAAAAGGACAAGAAAAACGAGCATCAGCCCAAAAAAACACAGTAAAAGCAGTGTGGTCCATTATTTCTGAATGGAACAGACCTTCCGCTCATTGCCATTGACAGCGATTGGCTCGCCCTTGAGTGTCTGTGGCGGCGCCATCATAGCACAAAACATTCCGTGTTGCTGAAAGAGCGAGGACGGAAAAAAAGGATTTGTGTATGTGTGCGTGTGTGTGTGTGTGTGCCAAAGCGTTCATTCCCACAACGGTGACAAAACGCTTTGCCGCGGCTTGCTTCATTTGGAACTTCGAACGTCATGACGGCAAACGACCGAATGAAAAGGAGAAATGCAGAACGCTTGTGGAAGAAATAGGAATGAATAAGCGCACATGCCTCTATGCTGTTTATATATTTATATGTATTTCTATATAAATATATATAAAAATATATATGCGTATGGAATAGTAGTGCGCATCCGCTCCGTCAACAGGAGGCGGCGACGGAGGCGATGGGGGCACCCGTTGCAAAACGCACACAAAAACAAAAACAAAGGTCCGTGTTTGTGCCTCTATGATGATCAACAAACGAGGGAGGTGGAGTAGCGGAGCAATAAAAACAAAAAAAAAAACGAGTCACTCCTCCCCTTGTCTATACTTGCAGATGCTTTCCTCTCGCCCCTTTTCGTGATCACGGTGGGAGTAAACAAGAAAAAAAAAACAAATAAAGAAAGAGAAGGGTGAGACAAAAAAAAAAGAAATAAAGGACAGAGAGGGGCCTCTATTTGAAGTTCGGTGGGCGAAGTCCGCTCTTATGGTACTGCACCTTATCGTCGCGCGACATGGCGCCAGCAGGAACCACATTCTTCACGGCGTTGTTGACGTTCTGCAGCCAAATGCGGACACCGAAGATGCGGTACAGCTCACTGTTAAGCTGCCGGAAGTCGATGGAGCGCGAGGCCTCATAGTAGAAGCTGATCTTCTGCTGATCAAACTGATACTCACAGTCCACCACATCCATCTCAAGTCCCAATCGTCCAACAATCTCGCGGCATGTCTTCAGCGCAAGGTTTTCATTGCGTGCGATCTCGCCAAAGAGACGCTCCACCTCCTCTTCAGTTGCCACGCGCAGGACACGCCCCAAATCGCCCTTCATGCGGGACACATTTATCACGTTCCCGTCGAAGCTTTCCTCTCGCACAAAGCAGCCCTTTTCAGCGCTCCACTCGCTGCACTGGTTCACGACACCACAGTCATGGCCACGATCACCCTGTACAATGGCATACTGGCCAGGAACGATAAAGACGCTACTTTCACAGCGTTTCACTCGCTGGCACTTGAATTCCACCAGCACAATGAAGCAGTCGTGTTTGGGGGAACTATTTGTATCAGCCCCACGTGCCGCTGATGCCGTCATCGGCCCGGTGGTTGGGGTCTTCTTGCGAAAATGGCTTCTTGGCTCCTCGTCCTTAGCTTTTATTGCGGTTGCCTCTCCCCTAGGCGGCTGTGCATACACCGGGGGCTCCGTCAACGGGACTGAATCTGGTCGCTGATGAAGGGCACCGCTGAGCAGCGAGACGACACTGCACTCCTCATCATGCAAAACAGGCTGCACAGCATCTGGACTTGGTGTCTGCGGAGTGACGGGGGGAACAGTGCGCGTCAAGGTGTTCACCTGCTGAGGCACCAATGCAACCAGCAGGTCATAGATGGCGTCAACCTTACACATGATGTGATCCACCTTCTCGGATAGCTCCTCAATCCTGGCGGAATTGGCGACATGCACATCTTCTGGCATCTGCGGCGCATACTGCAGATATGACCCATGCTTCCTCGCCGCCACATTCGTCACGTCCTGGAAAGAATTCAAATCCATTATGNAATGTATAATGCCTGTAGTTGTTGTTTCCCTTGCTTATTTTTATTGATTGAAAGAGCAGTAATAAAGGAAAACGGTTAGGTTGTGCAGACGAAGCACAGCTTACTGGGAAAAGGAATAAGAAAAAACGCACAGGTACCTTTGTAAGCATTATGCAAAACAAACGCAACACAACACTTAGTACCAAAAGCATCCAACTGGTTTTCTCGCAGCACCCCCATCAAGCATACGCTCCAACAATATAGCGCGAAGCAAAGTGGCCATACAACGTACTACACCCAACTGTCTCGCTCCGTCAGGTAGAACGGTTGTGCCAGCTCCTTGCCGCCACTTTCCTCACTCTTTGAGGAAGCACCAATCCAAAACAGCAGGACGTCCTCCAAGCGTTGCAGCAGCGCTGCGCGTGTCTTGCTGTGAGAGGCCTCATCCTCCACATGGGGTGGTTGTATCGTCTTGACCAACGGCCGAACTTCCGCAATCTGAAGAAACGGCTTTTCAGAGTGGAAGGACGCCACACTTGCCTTGTCTAGAAAAACACCGGACAGCTGTTCCACACGATGATAGAGTAGCTCAATATCTATATCTACGGTGTCAAATGGTTCCTGCAGGCCGTACAAACTCTCCAACGCAGGGCCCAGATCCTTCGCCCAGAAACGCTCCGCCGTCGCACCAGAGGACTGCAACAGACCCAAGAGAAAATCCTGACATATCGTCTTCACATCACCTATAGTTTGCGCAGTGCGACGAAGCTTATCACGAAGAACACGCACGGCGGCTCGTGCAATCATCTCAATCTCAAGGTAATGTCCCACCGCAAAGCGAGATGCCTCCGAAATGCGATGATAAACAAACGGCAGAAAGCGCATGTTCAGTCCGTTGGCGTGGAAAATAGAGGTCAGCGAGGGCTCTACCAAGAGTCCCTTTGGGCCACGTGGAGTGCTGCCACACTTAACAGCATCGCCAAAAAGATTCGAGTGCTTCTTTTCTTCAGAGAGCCGCTTAGTGTAGCAGTGGGAGCAGATGTTGCAGCACATGTCATCCCCACGACAGACAACAAAACGCAGTTCATTCTCCATTGTGAGAGAACACAGCGTGCATTCTGCGTTATCTTGCCGGGGAACATCAACGGCACGGTGAAAATCAAGCATTTCCGCCACGGCAGGGATCAGCTCTGCATGCAAGCATTCCGTTGCCTCGACAACCGCGGCATTGTCTTCAGGAGTTGCGGCATTCTCCACAAAGGCGTCAGGGCTCAGAAGTCGGCCCCATGAAAGCAAAAACTCTGGTCGGAAACGTAGTCCTGCTGCTTTTTCCGTACCGGGTGCCCCACTTGCGACTGTGGCGATGTGTGGTAACACACGCGAGGCATTCATGATGTAAAGGCGTTTATCGTGGCCCACAACCACAGCAACATCTACAGGCAGAGTCACCGGAAGTGCGTCTCTTGTCGGCAGAATCATGTTGTGTAGCTGAAGTCCCATAGACTGACCCAGATCCATCATTTGAGACTTGACAAACTCTGGCGGGTCCAATCTGCGCTCCAATTCTTGTAGCGGGAGGTACACAACACCGCTCACCGCAACAGGAGGTATTGCAGTCACAATGAGACGAAACCCCGTGAACGTGACGAGCGCAGTTGGTGGTGTTGACAGAAGCCGCTTGGGGCCCTCTAGTGCAACCAGCTGCACTGCCTGCATGGACTGAGACGCCACCTGCCAGGCATGCACATCGCCTTTGCAATTTCCATCACCGTCATCAAGGACGAGCCTCACAAGAAGGTTATTGTGCTGAAATGTCCCCATCGTGCCACACTTCGTGGCCCGCGCCTCACGCTCTGAAGAGGGGCGCAGAAGGTCCGCTAGCAGAGTGAACGCTGCGTCCTCAGCTGCTCTTGCAAACTCCCCCATAAACATGCGCAGTTTCTCCCTCGTCGCAACACTCTTCTCCCACACACCAAAGAGGACCATTTCTACGAGCTGCTGGTATTCCTCATTCCAATTCCGCCCCGTCCCAGGCGTAGCGGCTACGTTTTGCCAACACTCTTCCAGAAGCTGGATATCACGAAGCAGAGTGTCCAACGGTGGGAGGGTCCTCGTATTCTTCTCCGTTGAAATAAGCTCACGCTCTGGTCCCGTTTCTTTTGGATGATCAGAGCTCTCAGGCGCTTCTGTAAGAAAGCGTTCGTCGTAAACTCTCTGCCAGCATGCGGTTTCCCCATCCCCATTTGTCGCATCGTTCACCGAGAGCAGCACCCACACTGTAGTGCCGTCTTCCACCCTCGACGCGGCCCACCAGCTGCCAAATGGGTCCTTGTAGCGGCGGACTTCACGTATGACAGAGCCTGCCGGCGCCTCCCCCACTGCGTTGCCCAGCGGCCCACGGAAGAGCAGCGCTGGTCCCCCCACGGCCTGCCAGTAAATGAGGGGCCTCTTGGCAGTCAATGATGTTGCTGCCGCTGCTACAGAACGCGAGGACGACGAGGCAGGTGGCCTCTGGCGGGCGGCTGCTGTCACCCGCGTCGTGCGTTCCTGCGGCAGCTGGTGGGGAGGCAGTCGGACCATTTGAATGTGAATAAATGAATAGTTCCCCTCTCCGACACACGAATGAANGAAAATAAATAAGTAAAAAGAGCATGAATACAAGACACGGCTCCACCGAGCGGGTGTACAACTACACACACCCGCAAGCGAACGCCCTGGAAACTCATCCAACGCCACCACCAGCAAAAGTCAGAGACGAGCCCTACCACAGCAGCAGCCGTATCGGCAACGGTGCGCGCGGCTGCGGCGCGGTGGCACAGCCAGTGACGCCAATGATTTAGCTGCACGCAAGTGTACACGCCAACCAGCCAAACAAACAAGAAAAGAAATCGTCGAGAATGATGGCTCATTTCGCCCTCTCGAGTCCACAGACTGACGAAGCATACCAAGGTGGAGCAAGTAAGAAAAAAAAACTCCAATCACAGAGAAAACTAAAAAAAAAAAANAAAAAAAAAAAAGATGCTTCCATTCCTATATTTCAGTGTTGTACACATTCATCATTTTGGTTTGTCTTTGCTTGCCGCCGCTGCAACGGGACGCTGTCCAGCCCCCCCGACCCACCACGGCACGACGGGGCCGCGGCATTGCGCCGTTCCAAACTGAGACAACGGAAGCGGTTGGGATCCACAAAAGAAAAGAAAGAGAGAAGTACCCCAACTGCAGAAAAGAAAAAAAAAAAAGGAAGCAAGCAAGAAACAAAAAAACACAAAGAGCGAAAAAGTCGATGCGAGGTCTATCCTGCCAACTCACATCACCGAACACGTCTGCGCCATTCCTGACGGCTTGGCGAGTTGGTTGTAGAACTCTTCCTCCCCGACATTCTCCGGCAGGAGACCCCTGCAGTACTCATCGGTGACGGCGTTTTCCAGGGGGAGGCCGTCGCCGAGGACCTGCCGCACGTCAATGTCGTACTCCAACAACATCTGCAGGCGCAGCTGCTGCTTTGTCATGCGAACGACTGGGCGCAGCGGCGGTCCAGCCTTGTTCCGCGCGAGAGCAAGCTGCATTGCCTCCTCCTGCGACTTCAGCATGCCCACCGCGTACTGCCACAAAAAGCAAAATAAGGCCACTGTATCTTGTTGCCGCCTATTCGGGGCATTCTTCACCTTTTTGGGTGGCACGCCGGGTGCATTCGGTGACTGGCATTCAGTGTCCTTGAGGGCTGTATCATTGTCGCTCACACCTTCTTTCTCTGCAGCCTTGCTCGCGTTCCCTGACTTCGTCCGCATGGGCCCCTTCACCAGCCGATCCTTCAGCACACCCAGCGCCATCTGCATGAACACCTGATGCGAGAGAGACACTGGTATAGGCTCACCGACGCGCAAGAAGTTCGGCCGCTGACCAGGAGGGGATTCAGGGTCTCGTTCGTACCACAAAAGGACGTAGTCGCAGTGAAGCTCTTTCTGTAGATCCTGTTGTGCTCGAAGGAAGGGCGATGTAGTGCTCTTTATTCGCTTTGGCGGTGGTGGTGATTCTGTGTGCTGCTGCTGCAGACCCTCTTGAGGGCCAAGAGAGGGTGCCAGAGCCACAGTCTTCATGTTGAGATACAGACCCAGTTGGCCAATACAAAGTCACTTTACTACGGGAGATATCCCTCACCTTAAACAAAATATTCATGTGCAAAAAACGAAAAAAACAAAAAAAAAATGACATCAAATAGGAGAGCAATCCAATGCCCAACTCTCTTACGCTTGGCACAACAAAACCAAAAAGAAAACCGTCTTATTTCTTCACTCTTCGATAAAACTTGGCACGTATCCATCAGCAATAGAAGCAAAATTTACCCACAGCATCGCCTCTCTATAGCTTGGTGTAGTATATAATTGTAGACACCACTCTTTAACGAAACAATATGCTGCTGTAGGGCCCTAATCTGTCCCTGTAACTATGCCTATGTGGCATGCCACGACCGAATTACCTGCATCTCTCTGTTAAAGAGTAGCTGTTGGTGTTGTGTCGTAGGACTTCTTGAGTGTTGTGGCAAAGGCTAAGAGGTGAAGACTCGTCCGAAAGGGTCAAAACAGGCACCAACAGTTGATCCATTCGATCTCGGCGGAATTGGCACTGGCAGCGGGACACCCTGCGCTCCATTTGCCTCCTCCACACGCAGAGAGGGACGGTCATCGCGGAAGAGGTCATCTAGCACAGTGCTCTGTCTGCTACAGCCCCCAGCGACGTCGTGGCTGCCACTAACCCTGACATCACATGCGCCACCTGCAAATTCATAATCAAAACAACTGGGAGAACACTTACACACTCCCCGCTCCTTGGTATTCCCTGCTGCTGAGATAAAAGCAAAAGCACTAACTCCATGTTGTTCGGGGGCTGGCGACGACGTATCAACAAATTCAAATGCCAAGTTTCCACCATGCCTAGTCTGAGTCTGTATGCCACCAAAGGTCATTAAATCCAATAAAGGTGCTGCATCAGGTGTGCTTGGCGACATATTACCCCCTGAGTTCAACTCCCAGAGCATCTCTCCACCCTCTTGAAACCGCGTGCCAGGAGCACCCTCCTTCCGTGTTCTCCGCTGTTTAATCTGTAAATCACTTAGCTGTAACGGTGCATTCTTTGCAGAAGTGGACACCTGCGTCGCCTCCACTGTGGGTGGAGGCCTGTAAAATTTCTTCATCTCATATTTCGTGCGAATCCATTTAAGCACTAGCTCAGAGTCCTCTTTCTCACCTGGCTTGCCGTAGTCGGACGGCAGGGTGCCCTCCCAGATTGTTCTTGCCCTTCCATTCCCCATGGCGCGCATGAACGCAATTTGCGCGGGCTCCCATATATCCATGGTGCAGCTTTTCACTTTACTCACGTGCACCCCGAGCTGTCTATGCAAACCGCTACACCTCAAACAGATAAAGATGCCTATGTTTGTGCTGGCCCAGGTAGGGTTCCGCGCCTGACAGTCCATGCACTCCTGGTTCTCCTCCAGCCTAAACAACTCAGACAACATGCGGCGATGCCTCCTCTGTACCTCACTCGTTTGGCTCGACAAGGACGCCATGTGACGCAACTTCCCCACGACTACAATCACTTTCCACAAAAAAAAAGAGGAGCAAAGTCAAGAGAGAGGCCTTCTGTGCACACCTGTAGTCCAAAAAAAAAAAGGAAAGCATTTAGAAGCATCACCCAAACAGAGCGAAGAAAAGAGGAGGAAAATGTACTCTCAAGTAACACACAAGTTTGCTTCGTCACAAGATAATATGTTTTTGCCCACCACCATGTTTCTAACCCAGCACCTCTACATTTTCTTTTCTTTTGAAACACCAATTGCTCTCACGGTTTTATTTGAGTACCACATTTCAAATTTGTTTCTTTTGTTGTTGTTGTTGTTGTTGGAGGGGAAGAGGAGCTGAGGGGAAGATTGCCCGGCTTTACTTGGCAAGCCTCTCTACTGCCCTCACACCCTTGACATTTGTTGAACAGAGGTGTTCATGGATGCGACAAAGACCAAGAAATTTCGCTCCGCTTCGCACTTCACTTGACCGTAGGGAACCGCAAAGCAGTCACCCTTCACCACACGCGTCCCGTTCACAAAGCCCTCGCCACCTAGGCAAAATCCGAGTCCAATGGTTGGCAAAGTAACGCTCGCGCTACCTGCGGTTTGCGCAGTGTGTTCGATGCGATAGAGGGAGAACTCTGGAAACTCACGAGGCGGGCAATAGTGCTGCACCTCCCACTCAAGCCCTCCTTGTGCCCGCTGACGCTCGTACTTGGCCCGCTGAAGGCCCTTAGTGTTGTAGCTAAGCATATCCAACAGCGTGGGGACATCTTTCCACTTGGGCGTTAGGCCAGCACGCACAACGTTATCGCTGCTCGCCATAATTTCCACGCCGTCACCGTAGATGTACGCATGTGGTTCACTGTCGGCGAGGAAGAGGCCCTGACCAGGCTCCATCTGCACGTAATTGAGGAAGTACACCATCCAACACCCGATATCATCCGGGTACTGTGACATAAGACGCACAAAGAGGCGGTCTTCTGTAGAAGCTGTATCTCCTTGTGCCATCACCGCCCCCACATGTTCGCGCAGCGCTTTGGTGTGCCGCTCCGCGTCCAAGTTGTACAACAGACTCATCATGCTCTTTACGGTGTCCTTTTCGCTATTGCCCGCGGGGAACTCGGTGGCACACCCCAGCAAGGTGCTCAGTGGTGGCACTTTCCGCACCAGGCGAAGGATGTCGCACAGGGGGCGGAAACAGCAGAGCGCCTCGAACGGTGTTAGCGCCACAATCAATTCGGGCTTGTGATTTGGATCCTTATATTTGGTTGGGTTGTCAAGGTGAAGCTTTTGCGCAAGAGCCTTGTTGGGGTGCGCCTGAATGGAAAGTGCCGTTTGAATGGACAGCACCTTGAGGAGGAATGGCACGCTGTTGCGGAACTCAGGGTGTCGCTGCTGCGACGCGGAGAGAAAGCGGGGCGCAACAGTCGGGTTGGCGATGTACTCGGACAGCAGCTGCCCCGACTGCGTGCGCGACGGACAGTTAGGGTGCGTACCCACCCACAGCTCCGCGTACTTTTTATCCCCAGAAGAAACGTGCTTCATCTTCGCAATGAAACTGTCCGACGCACTCTTTCCCCAGTCGTAGTGCTGGACACCACACTCCAACCTCACCAACTCTGTCATAATGCCTTGGTAGTGACGTTTCTAGCAACGTCAGCCGCAGATGACAAGAGAGAACAAGACAAAAAGCAACACACAAACACCATTGCTACTGAAACGCAACACCCGTAGTAGCACGCACGAACAGAGCCCAACAGGTCGTGAAAGCAAAAGGAATACAATGGTGAAATTCAGCCTCTGACCGATAAATTGACCCCCCCTCTCCCCTTTGAAGTAATTCAGAGCGAATACTAAACAGTGACGACTTCTGCACCCAAAGCAGAGGGACAGAAATCAACATAAAACATTATAACCACTAGAAATAAGAAACAAAGCCAAGCATCAAAATATTTTGAAAGGAAAACTATTGGTCCAATATAAAACCATTACTTATCGTGTTTCTCATTCTGTCTTCGACGTAATTTCCACGCCGCATAATACAGCGAGAACTTTGACAGTGACGACAGAGCTTCCTTCGACGTCTGTGCATTCTTCCACCCTTTCCACGCCGCTGCTGCCTCCGTTGCATTGTGAAGGCTTGAGGAAAATCTTAACGCGCCAGCATGAACAGATATCATGCGGGGGGAGACATTAACCATGCGAAACTGTGAAGAGAACCTCACACGGCTGGCGGCAACGTAGACAAGATGGTCGCACGGGAAGCACCCGCTGCCGTCAAAAAGAAGGGAGTGGTCAAATGTTATTCCCTGCACCTTGTGCACGGTGTAGGCGTAGGCAGGGGCGAGGGGCATCACAACCACACGCACTGCACAAAAACCCTCTCGCAGTTCTGCTGGCATTGAAATGGAGATCCATGGTATGGCAACTTCATTACCATCTGAGTCCATTTGCACAACAGGAACAATCGTTTCATCGCTGTTGTTGTCACCAATATCTTCTGCCGTCTGCTTCCACGGGTCAGGCGCACCACTGAGCTGTTGTTTTCGTTGAAGAAAGGCGTAATGGGATCGTGAGAGCAGCACCTTGAGGTTTGAGGGAAGAAGGTGACGAACGTTGCGGAAAGGCTGAAAGCTGACAATGGTCCCGAGTGAGCCATTGACATACTGTTTATTGAGGTTTCGCAGGAGCATAACTCGGCAACCTACTTTCAGCCGCTTATGCTGGAACAAATAATCGTGTTGAATGATTTTGGAGTACCGTCGCTCAAAGGCTGAACGAAGAGAGCGCTCCAAATAATCATCTTGACGAACTTCCCAAAAGACCGTTCCCCAGAGTTTTCTGGCCACTTCAGCCTCTTTCGTCCTGGCGAGGAACTTGTCACCAATCGCAGCCTGGAGTGCAGACATCGCCTTCACCATCTCATTCCGAGGCTTATCCACGAACCGCACGTACACGCAGAGGTGGCGACAATACCTCGAAGCCACGGGTGGGATCATCGTTCGGACGGCACTGCTTAGGTGGCAACAAGAGCAAAGCTCATACACCAATCTCTCGGCCTCTCGCCGCCACTTCGTGGAATGCATCATCTTATCACGGAAGTGAAGAATAAGCACCTCTTTCAGAGCATTACTTCTACCGCCGCTGTTCCCACAGCCACTCGCTGATGCTCTTGTGCGGCTGCCGCAGCCCGACACCTGAAGTTCACTTCGGAAGCAGCGCTCTTCCCCATCCAACTCGAGCATTTTAGACGCGTTAAATGCAATGACTGCGCGTTTAGTCGGGAACAGGCGAATGGCGTTAGGGTCCTCTGGGTTCCGTACAGCAGATCGCGACAGTCGGTGTGTGAGAACACCGAAGCGCAGTTTGTTAAGGTCGGCAAGGAACGCAGGGTCCTCCGCCTGCCGCACCACTTCACTCAGCCGCACGTGAATCAAGCAATGATGAAAGACGGGACTTTCAAATACAGGACGTGCATAAAAGCGCCTCATGTTACGGCGCCTGCTACCAAGAGAGGGCATGTCATCGCCAGGCTTGGTGTAGAGATGCTTCCCGGCAACGTTTTCGTCATTCAGAGATATCATCACCCCTTTTTTCTCTTCGGTTGAGCCCTGCACTGCATCACCATTACGGTCCAGTCCCTTACAGAGTATCCGCCGTTGATTGGCCTCGTTCCATGAGGCACTGTGCATGAGTTGCATGAAGTCACCGCCAAGTATCACCTGAATCCCACCAAATGGAACGTGTTGGGCTTTACCAGGGGCTGCACGAGCTGCCAAGTCAAGCCCTTCAATGTGACCCGCATGCAGGAGGGACACTTCATCGACGATTATGACATCCAGTGTTGCCAACGAGTCGGGATCGAACCAAATGCGTGGCGAAGCGCCAGCATCTGCTGAACTCTTCTCATCGCCCGAGACAACAGGAACCCCAAAAGTGCCATGAAACGTATTCCCTCCAATCCCAAGTGCGGCGATGCCAGTAGAGGCGGTAAGAGCGACGCGAAGCCCTCTCTTCTCGAGCTTATTGGCAATGCGACGCAGCAAGAAAGACTTTCCTGTCCCGGCATCACCGCCAATAAACAGAGAAGCCCCATTCAAAGCCATCTTGAGTACAATACACTTTTCTGAACTCAGCTTCGGTTCCTCCTCTTCATTCATCGCCTGAGTGCATTCTTGCTCACTATCATTTTTGTCCGTCGGACAAAATGGATTTGAAAGTTCCATAGTAGTAGTTTCCCCCACAGGAAAAGAACGACTATCCTTTGACGCCTTTTCAACGGCTGAATGCTTTTCAACGACATTTGAGTAACGTCCGCCTCGCGACTGTGATAATAGATTCTCCTCATCAGCCAAGGGAAAAGGTTCATTCCCCCTGATCACCCTCTTATGCAACTCACCGTTGTTTGGTCCCTCCTGCATAGCACCATTGGTGACCTGGAGAACTCCACACACATTTGGGTATTGCTTCAAGAGAAGCGGGGGAAGCGCCTTTCGCAGCAGCTGTGCTCGAGAGAACGCCGTATGCATCAAGCTCTGTCTAAAACTTACAATTCAACACCATCAGCAACAGCAGCAGGAGGAGGTGGACGAGAGAAAAGATTGGCCCAGAAAAGTACCGACGGCACGCCATCTGCAATAAGAAAAAAAGAAATCCATGTTGAAAAAACAAATAGCAACGACGCCAAACTGGCAAAGACCAAGAGCGATCGGAATCTATGAACCAAAATTTGTAAAAAAAAGAAATAATCTAAATACCACTTTCAAGGGAGACCGAGGCTCCTCATCTACCGCCTCGATGCACCACGGGTTGGCGGAGAAGATCGTCGAGAATTCAAAGTCTTGCCAGCCGGCCTTGTGGCGGCGGATGTCTTCATGGATGCGGTGCGCAGTTGTAAATTGGCGCGTAACTCAACGAGTTGCCTGTGCTCTTCTGGAGAGAGATACACGGAGTGGCACCGCGTGTCAGGAAGTGTGCACTCCCCTGTCTCACCACGAGACACCAAAACACCACGAAGACGCATGAGTGCAAAGAACTCCGCACCCGTTAATACATCTAGCACTGTTCTATGCGGGTCTGTCCTGACCGGGAGTGCCGGCGATGCTGCACGAGACGAAGTGGAGCGTCGTGCCGTGGCAGTGCTTGGCCGCCGCGGTGTCGGCGCCGTCCTTTGCTGCGCCGAGCACCTCGAAACACTTTCTCTACGCGTCTCGGACGGGCGTCGCGGGCGCGGATCCGCACGTGAAGACTGGGCGGTGCGGCGCACTGGGCATTGCGCCTCGGTGGCGGCGGAAGACCGCGGGGTGCTTGCTCGCACCGGTGTGCACACTGATGCGAACTGCTCCTTCACGTGACGAATAGCATCCCCCACCGCACGCACGCTGGGGCTGCGTGCTTCCACAGCACGCTGCTGAATACTCTCATTCATTGTCGTGCCCTTTGCGTTGGGGGACGTATCGGTGGATGCATCCCGTTCTCTGCCTGCCTGTAGAATCGCAGGTCCCGTCTGCCACACTTCTTGTAGCTTTGGAGACGGGGACTTTGCGCTGTTGTCTGGACTGGAAGGAGGGCTGCGGTAGAGCGTCGGCTTCCGCAGCTTCTCACGCAAGCGGGCCTGGACTGCCTGAAAAGGATCAAAGCCGCGGACCGTCTCTGGGCCAAGCACTGGCGTTGAGGTTGATGTTGGAGGTGCATCTGTGTTCGGGAAGCGCTCGCAATCGTGTGACAGATTTATGTGTGTAGGAGAGGAATCGTAGAACGCCGCTGCACGTGTCGGTTTAGCGACACGCTGAAACAGCGCCGCTGACGTCGCAGCTCCGGCGCGCGGAGCCGGTGCAGCCGCGGGCGTAGTGTCGTAGTACGTGTGCGCCTGCAGGCCCGTGAGGGACTTCTCTGATGGCACCGGTGACGCTGTCTGGCTCTCCTTTCGAATGCCCAGCTGCAGGGTCTCGCCGCCGCTCTGTCGCTGCATTGCCTCCCGCTTAGCCAATTCCACAATACGGCTGAGTCCTCCCTTCGTCGCACAGCCCTCGTTGACGCTGCGCTCCGCCAGCACAGCTGGCCGCTGCTCCGCGCTTCTGCTGGCGTGAACCGCTGCTGGTGATGGATGGGCGGTGTGCTCATCGCGCTGGAAGCTGAGGCTGAGGTTCACCAAGCGGTCGCGCACCTCGTTTATTTTCTTCTCCACGTCTGCAAGCCCCGAGGAAGACATGAACCTTCACACAACTGCCTCTGGAAACAAGAATAGAGCAAAGAAGTGAAACTTAGGCGTGTTACCTAAGTATCACAAGCAACACAGAGAAAAATGGGTACTAAAGGGAACATCAACGAATGCACATCCCAAAAAAAAATTTCTCCGTTTAATTGAACGTACTTTACATTAAAAATGCGGATATCGTGAAGTTCACACAACCTCAAATGCTTTACTGCTGCACGATGAGACGGATTCTTGCTTCCAGTGCCCGCCACACAGGCACAAACCTCTTACCGTGCTCCAGAACGTTTACAATGTCCAACTGAGAAAGAAAATCAAATGCCGCAGTCTCTCGACTTGCCTTCTTCCCGACAAGACGACGGTTGTTGTGGATATCTTGAAGCAACTCACGGTCACCACTAAGCACAACCGTCGGAACGTGCGTCATGGCATGCGCCACCTGCACCATCACAGCATCCGCCGCCTGGCTGTGACCGCCGCAAGGGGTGAAGTGACAACGTCCTTCTGCCACAAGCCGCTGCCACACACTTCGTTTCGCACTGCGCTTCCCCACTCCATCGTGTTGAGGAGAGCTTTGACAAACATTTTCCGCGTCTGGGAATACTCCGTGGTACCGTGTAAAGCAGGAGCCAAAAAAGGACCACACAAACACGTGCTTTAGCAAATCAAAGCCGTCAGACGACCCAGAACCCGGGGGTATTGATTTAAACTGGTTAAAACCGTAATTATCCAGATCCAGCAGTACCACTACCAGTTTCCCTTTGCACCTTTGCTGTAGGCTTGTCAGTCGTGTGGAGGCCTGTACTGTTTCGCAGCGTATGCAGTGACACTTATCGTCCAGCCATGAATCGCCACTCACAAGCCTGGCGTCGAGCAGTGCATCGGTGTCCTTGTCACCTCCCGCAACACAGGAGAATCCCTCTTCACCAGGGCGATGCAGGCGCACGGTGCCACCGATCGCCCCACAGCTTTCACCTTCCAGCTGGCGCGACTTATCATCGTCGATGGCCCCGTGCTGAATCGCATTGTCGGTGTCGCTTCCACTGTCAAAGGCCAGTTCACTGAACATGGCCAAGCAAGCAGTTCAGAGTCGCGTCCCTGTGCGACCTAATGCAATGCAATGTAAAAAAACAACAGAGAAGACACACACAGAAAAGAAAAGGAGCAATTATCAATGAAACCATTTGGTCATCACAAAAATCACAAAAACACCATCAAAAAAGAAAAGAATTAGTAACATCCTTATGCCGCATAAACAATATGCAATGCGCGGCCCACACTGTTCCCCATCATGTACCACCAAAGTATTTTTTTTTTCACTCCTCGCGTGGGCGTTTCTGCTTCACAACTTTCTCGCCTTCCTTCACGCTCTGACATGGCTCGAGCAGAGAACACCGAACACGAGTAATGTCAAGCAACATCCTTCGCCGCCCTGCACCGGAGCGCCTCCCTTCACACAACATGAAGTCAAGCCACGCATCACAGACAAGGTTCGCCACCAAAGAAGGTGCTAGACGCTGGAGGGTTTGGTAGTGTCCATGCAAGGTAAGCACCAGTTCATCGGGTGTGTCACTCACATTTGTGGAGTAGAGCAGCGTGCGGCGAAGCATGCTCAGTACGCTGATCATGCACATCACCCATCGCACCAAATCCGCCACGTCAGCATCCTTTTGAAGTCTGCCCATCTCCTCAAAGGCTGGCTGTATGGTGGGGAGGAGCAGCTGCCGTGCATCCATAGCCAACGATAAGGCGTCGCAAAGAATCAACAGTTGTGCCTTTGCAACAGCGATACGAGATGTGATGAACGCCACAGAAAATGAGCCAGTCGTTATAGATTCCGAACAGAAGTTTAGAACGCCACTAAGAAACAAGTTCACAACGGTCTGCTGCACCCAGTTAGACACCTTCTGTCTCGCCTCTAGCTCTTTTTTAGGGTCGCCAGGTGTGCGCTTACGAACTACAGACACGAGGTACACGTCGAGGCAGTGCAGAACTGAGAAACTTACTGACATGATGGCGTCAATTGAGAGCAGAGGATCTACTGTGGCGTCATCGCAGCAATAGTGCATCACAGCCCATTTCAGAAGCTCCGTGTGCCGCTCCAACACAAACTTCCACAGATCAGCGTCGAGGAGAAGTGGGATGTCGCCAGGGTGCCGCTCGTTGGCGTATGTCTCAAACCACTCCTGCAGAAGATTTAGAGCGAACTCAAGACGCGCAAGGTTCACTGACGCAGGAAAGACCTCCTTCTCCACTATGCGGCACATCGTCACAGCAAAAGCCAAATCAGGTTTGCTCTCGTTGCGACGAAGACACTCCACAAGATTGTCCAAAATCTCTTTACCGCGGTCATCGCACAGATGCTCTTGCGACGAGTCCTGTTTCTGCTTCATCTCGTGCTCGGAAACATCACGGGCCCTTGAACACCACGTACCTTTAAGAGTCTCCTGGGACCTCTTTCGCATCTCTCGGTCCTTGCGTTCATTCACTTCAAAGGCCTTGTACTCCTCGAACAATACCCCACTGTCGAGCTCAGTGCATGGCACGCCGAAATCACGCTTGAAACTGCGTCGCAGGAGCGCCTCCGCTGCAGCTTCATCGTGCTGTAGCAGCACAGCATCAGTAAGCCACTGACGTTCAGCCTTCCCAACTAAACCGTAAGAGTTGAAGAGGTGCGCGGCGTCGTGTGCGAGCCTCTGGAACTGGTAAAGCTCCAAGAAGTATCTTTTCCGCAAGCGCACAATGCATTTATCCACGACATCGTCATTCTCCGCATCACCGGACACTGTTGCATCATCGTCATTATCATTGCCATTCTTTGCCCCATCATCTGCGGCAGAAAGTGTTTGTGACGCGATTTGCTCTGAGAGAGACTCTAGGCGCACCGCAACACTCGACCAGCACCCCCAAAAGGCCACTGCGAAACACTCTCGCTGAGACACCATCAGCTGACGGCACAACGCGGCAAGGCCGCCTGTCTCATCGCGTCCTGACTCTCCTATGAAAAAGCATAGCCCTTCATGCCACTGCCGCCAGCGATGGAGTGGCACCACTAACAGCTGTACGCACCGTGCGTACACGGCATGATAGTGCCGCACAGACTCACTGATAGATTGAACGGATAAGGAATCCAGGGGTGGCAAAACGGAGGGGTTGCACCGTGCCGTTTCGAGGTCGTCTAGGGCCACCTCCCACACGGCGCGAGAAAGGCAAACAGGTCCATTCAGCAACTCAGATCCCACGGCACAGAAGCTATTGACCTTCTGCCGTGAAAGAACACTGCGCAGAGCGGCCATGACGTTTGGCGGCAAGATCAACGACAATCCGCTTCAACTTCTCCGACCTTTATTCTCCAGAAAAGAATCAGGAAAAAGCGCCATTACCAGAGCAACACACCAAGTTTGTGGGGGATCAAGCAAGACTGAGAAAAGAAAAATCGGCACGCAGTCCTGACGGAGAGATTTATCTATGCAGAGTGGCGCCTGCTCCGTGCATGGAGCCGCAGATGGCAGCGACGCGCCTCTCTCTCTCCAGTCTTCAGACAAGAGAAAGGGTATTTTAGAACGCATAACGCGATGTAAGCAAGCCTTTTACTTTCTGTCGTGGGTTCTATGGTTTGCAGAGCCAATCCGTTTTCGAGTAGGGATTGGGCAGTGAATCAAAAAAAACAAAAGGCACATGTTCTTCTTTTTGGCTTAGAGGGGCTCATCATTATTCCTTCTTCCGTGTGCATGCCATTTTTGTGAAAAAGTCGGAGAGTTTCATCTGCCCCTTGGGCTTCGGCAGCGCTTCACTGCCCTCAACCGCTGGCGCCACGGCTGAAGTGGCACCGGCGTTTGTCGCACCTCCCTCACCAAACAACTGCCGAGAAACGGAGTTCGTGGACAGGGAGGAGCTCGTAGAGGGTTCGACTGCCGCTGAGGACGAAGCCAGTGACAAATCCACAGGCCGGGAGCTCGTCTCCCTGCTGGCTGTTGTCTCCGTGGTCTCCGACAGGACCTGTGAGGGGTTGAAAATCGTCTTCGCGACCGTAGGCGGTTGACTGCTCCGCCTGCCCGAAGAGCGAGGCGACTCCTGCGACGTGAGAATGCTTGAGCGCCGTTGCCCACGTGCGGATGGCGTGTCTATCACTTTCACCATCGCTCGCCCCACACCAAAGGCAAAGACGTCCATCTTCGCAAGGCCATTGCCGCCACACAGAGGAATTTCTAACGAAGAACGCTTCTCGCTTTTGCTGGTGTCGTTGTTATCATGGTTGTTGGAATTTGGTCCGGCAGCCACTTCGGACGCAGCTGCTGCTTGTACTGCCGGCGTGGAATGCCCCTCAATCCGCGTGGACTTGAGGGGGCGCATGTAATCTTCCTCATCGTCTAGCAGCAGGCCCATGGCTCTTTCCTGTAGCAGTGCCAAAGGGATGGGAACGGAGAGGAGGCAGCAACACTGCAAACAGCGAAGAAACACAGAGAATGCCAATTTGGATACGGACAAAAAAAACAGCATATCAAAGGGGCGAGAGAAATAGCAATCTCACGAAGAGTAAGATGCGGGAAAAAAAACAAAACAAACAAAAAAGGAAAAATGGAATGTCGTCAAGAGTACAAACTTGGAGACCGGTATCTAGTGAGTCTAGTGAGTATACAACAAACAACCTACAGCCTTCTTCAGTTTTATATCCCAAACTACCTTTTCATCACATTATACACGTTGAACCAAGGAGAGTATGGCAATAAGTGATATTCTGTTTTGTTCTCTCAAAAGAGAAGAGGCGACTTGCTCACGAGAGAATCTGCCGGGGATGCTTCAAGCGGCACCGTGAATCCCTTAAATTCTGGCGGAGTGCTGAAGAGAACCTCCCTGCACGACTTCCTCGCCGACGACTGCATGAGTATGGAGGAGTCATCAGAGGACACCGTTGCCTTGCCGTCTGTGGTGGCATAACCGCCGTGTAGCAACGTTGCCATCGTCGAGGAAGCTGCCTGCGGTGTCTGCTGCCCATCTACATGCAGCTGCTGGCGGTTTTTTGCATTGGTATCTGTCAGCGCCACAGGAGCCCAAGACAAGTCCCCCGCGTCCTTGCGTCTTGTGAAAGGGGCCTTGTTTTTCACCAGTTGTGGTGATGCAGCAGCAGCAACAGGAGCAGCGCGGCGGTCTGTTGTGATCTTCTCTGTCTTGGCAGATTTAGATGGTGGTGCGCCGCTGCGCGTGAGGTGCATCCCCTTTGGCAGCCGCGGATCTACGCGCACCCTCAGTTGGGTGCGTGCGGCCGTGTTAAAGTGGCTGACGATGCGCATCACCTGCTGCCGGTAGTAGCGGTTAAACTCCTCGGAGTTCTGCGGCTGCAGCGCCAACTCTGCGAGCTCGGGAGAGATGGAGTAGCACTTCTGCAGCGTGTAGTTCAGGCGGCCACAGTGGCGACGCAGTTCATCCGCATCTCGTGGAAACGTACGAAGTCCCTCAAAGAAGTCGCTACCATTCGAAAGCATGCTGTGCCCTACCACCTCACGTGTTCTTGTAGTTATCCCTCTCTCGTTCTGATGCCCTCCTTCTACCTCTCTCTCTCTCTCTCTCTCTCTGTGTGTGTGCGCAAATATATGCCCTTTGCCTCCCTTGTTCTCGTTTCGTACGGGGTGAAAGCTTTGACAAAAGCTTCTACGAAAGCCGCCTTCTGTCATTGAGCAACGGAAACAGGAAAAAAAAAACAGACAAAGAATCATTCATTCCTTACAAGCAGCGGTAACTGTGAATCCAAGGAAAGGGGAGGGACGGAAGGACGACGAAGTGAAGCACACTTCTTGCTTTTTTTTTGTGTTTCGTGTTTGGTTTCATCTTGCTTTCTTTCCCCCGATACTGATCGGCCCTCGCATTGGTAAGAGCATGCAAAGTGTTAAGATGGGCGCACTGGTAGGTCTCCCTCCACTCCCCTCTGAGCAGAGAGGTAAGAGAGTGGCGGCGCAGATACGTGCGTCTCGTCTCGTCTTGTTTGGGCTACGACTGCTCTAAGCGTCCCCTTCCCTTTATACCCGAAACGTCAATACACGTGATGGTGTGGGGAGAGATGTGTGTTATTTAGAAAGGCCACTGTGAACGCAACGCATACATAATATTTAACACCACCGGCACCACGACTATCATCACACAGCCCATTTATCTCGCATTCCCTTTCTTATCATCTCTTCTATTCGTGTAGTCGCTCTTCAATGATGCTGCGCGACGATCAGCTGACACCACCAACGAATGATCATTCAGAAGAGGCCGCACGCTCGAATAAAAAAATGCACCGTCCGTCTTTGCAGGTTAAGGCGAAGCGCTCTCCTCCATCTGCGATAGACACACACATCACCTTGTTGGCGATAGGCTCCGGCACCTCCTCCGGTACCGCCTCTTCCCCAGGCATCCGCACTGCCGGGGTTTTCCACTCCTGCGCCAGCGAGGCACTCAACGTCTCCACTGTCGTACGGCCGCCGTTCTCCACCTCACAGAGAAGCGTCTGCGGGTCGACGCGGTAGTGCGTCATGACGTCCTCCGAGGGGATGCGGCCTTCTGAGAGGGGTTGCCACACAGCAGCAGCCCCGTCATACAGACCTGTAACAACAGTGCCAGAGATGTGATCAACCACGACAGGAAATCGGTCAAAGATGGAATCACTTTCATAGAGGGGATCTAAGTACGGCGCGACATAACTCATGACGGGGGCCTTGGAGTACGGCGCATCTGGTCGCCGTAGGTCCCACAGTTTAAGGGACAGGTAGTCGCGCGTCACAACATGATGCGGGCCGAGAAAGTCTGCACCTGAAATGCTACAAAGGATATCACTGTACTGCTCCTGAGACGGGAGGCCTGCGTCATTGACAACGCGTATCGTGGTGGAGTAGCGGCGCTGGGACGTTGAAGGTGCTTCGCGGAGATCACCGATGCCGAGGAGGCCAGAACTCCGACTCACCAGGAAAAGCGAGCTGTGGGTGGGGTGGAAAGCTGCCGACGTGACCAACTCCTCCACCTCATCCATGCGCCCGGAGAGCGGACGGCAGTCAGCAATGCAAATCCCCTTTGAGGCGTCCCCTCCCTCCAGATTCCACCAGAAGACCTGTAGGTCATCGATGCTCAGGAACGACTGGCCATCTGTGCAGACACTGAGGTCCTGCACGGGACTCGAGTGCGAACCAGAAAACACACGCACAGGGAGAATAAGAGACGGAGGCGCAGCGGGAGAAAAATAGCGAGTGTGCGCCAGTTTCCGCCCAAGAACCGCCTCCATCTTCGGGAACGCGTGAAACGGCAAGAAACCCTCCCGCGGCACACGAAACAGTTTGATGACCCGCTCATTAGAGGTCAAATAGTTTATCGTATTTGGCGACTCGTGTGACCGAAGGAAACGGAGTGACTTGACAGTTTGCAAGATTGTAACAGAAGTAAGGCAGTCCATTTCACGCACGTACGCCTGATGGCTATGCTTGCGAATGGGTGGCCGATACAACCCTGCACCATCCGAGTAAAGACATGAACGCTCTGAAAACACCGAGTTGGCAAAGCTTGGTAGATCAAGATCTGTCTGGCTTCGGCTGGAAGTGCTAATGTTGGACTTGCTCTTTCGTGAGATGGACATGGAGGACTGAAAGCGCTTGGCATGGCCCATGTCAAGTTCACAGTAGTTGACCCGACCATTCGCATCCCCAACACACACTGCAAGCGCAGAAGTGCCGTGAACAGGGTCGGGGAGCATGCACATAGCCATAACGCTGACGCTACTCTCTATGATCTCCGTATCGTTTCGCATGACACTGCGTGTATCGCTTGCTTCTGCACTGTTCACAACATGCAGCTCACCTGTTGCCTCGTATTCAACACTGTCAGCGTGAATATCAGGGCTTTCACTATTTCCCTCATTCTTGAAAGACTCAGCTGGGTCAAATGGGTAACCCAATTTCTGCAATAGCTTAAACGATGCACCTGCATGCGGCACCGAGTGATACAGAGCATTTTCCATCTCTGCAGCCTCGTCAGTATTGGCGGCTCGTCTTTGCATTCTGGTGTTGGCAGCTGCCTTCCCTCCTCCAGCCATTGTTGATGTGGCATGCATGTTGTTCGCTCCGTCTCCGTGCTGCTGCTTTACACGTCTGCTGCTAGAGTAGACGCCAGCAGCACCCGCGCCTCGACAGTCGTTGTACTCCCCTCTCCCATCACTGAACCGTGGTGTTACAGCAGGCGAGCTGTGCATTGAGCAATCCTCACGCAGCCGCGTCGGCGCCTCACTCCCTGCCCGGGAGGAACGGTACGACCTTGGTGAGTGTACAGCGGAGTCATGTGCACGCTGTGGTGCCTCACTCCCCGCCCGTGAGCTGCGGTACGAGAATACCTCTGTCTGGCCCTCCGGTGAGGGCGACTCAGCACCATTCTGCTGCGACATGGAGAGATCTTAACCAGCCCTCCTCTCCTCTGCACTGCTGGCAACGAGATGAAATAATTTCCTCTCTACTTTGCAGTTATCTCCCTACGTGGGCAGAGGCAAATCGAAGAGACGAGAGCACAGGGATCATACAACAAGAACATACACAAGCAAAAAGACACATGTACAAAACCGTGTAAGTTACCATAAAGTGCTCTGCGCACTCAAAGGGGAAATCAATGCTCTCTGGCAACTACTTTCGCGAAGAGAGAATAACTGTGATAGTGTAAAGCGACAAGCAGAATGGAAGAGCTGAATGAAAGGGGAAGAGAAGAACACGAAGGCCAGAACGCAGGTGGGAAGAGCAAAATAACTTTACCCGTCGCAAAGCCCATTGACGTTACCATCCATTTCCCCCCACCACACACACAGACGCAGAGGCAACGCTGAAGAAATCCTCACAATTCGCCGTATTTTTGGCGGACAAGAGCAAAACTAGAGGCCATTCGCGCCACGTATGCGGGCTTTCGTGTCGTCTTTGGGCGAAACGTGCTGCGCCCCAATTCCTCCCTTTCCCTCATGGCATCCTTTTCCTGTTTCATTTGCTCCAGTCGCTCCTTGTGCTGCCGCAGGCACTGCTCGTAGCGTGTATAGTTCTTCGGATGCAGCAGAGACTCCACATGTGCGTTGCGCTCGTCGTTAAGGGTGGGACGGAACGGATGGCGCAGCTCCTCTGCCAGCGCCTTTTCCTGCGCCACTTTTCGCGCTTTGCGCCAACGCACGCCGTCGTTCGCCATGCTATTCACGCCGCGGGGCTTCATTGAGCTCGAGACAGCTGTGATCTTTGGCTTGAAGGTGCACGGGTCAACGTACGGCGAACGGTGCTTCTTCACCGCTGATGCAAGCACCGACACATTACCGACTTCTGGCGTCGTGATCACACTGCGGGCGCGCAGCTCCTTTGCGATCTGCACGCTTGTCTCACTGATCTCCGGCTTGAAAGATGGCTTTAATGCCCTTTCAAGATTCCGCACGCCGCGAGAGCGGTTACCGTAGTGCGCATTCTGTCGCTGGAGAAACTCATCAAAACAAGCAATACGATAGCGACGATCTTCACGAAAGCTCTCATTCTTTCTATCGGCCGACCCCAACGATTCCAACAGACCCTCTGCTTGAAGCCTTTGAGCCAGTGGTGACCGATAGTCCGTTTCAACATAAGCGGACGCGCGATCTCTAGATGGACCAAGAACGTTGTGGAGAAATAGCTCAAACATGCCATCACCAACCTGTGAGGCAGTTAGAGCACCACATCGCTCGCGCAAGGACTCCATCTCCTCTTTCTCCAGTAATTCCTGTTCCCCCAGTCCCTCCTCTGGAGACGCTTTTCCAGTCTGCTGATGCGGGTAGAGTCGGTGAAAGACGTCACCCTTCTCATGTGAAGACTTGTGGAACAAGGCATCAGATGTGGGTGAGATCTGGGGATGGAATGTGCACTCTGCGCGCTCCTTCGCCCGCCATTTTTCCTCGGTCCGTTCTCGACGTTCCCTGGACTTTTCTTCCAATCGATGCTTTGTCCCGTCATGGTCCTCTTCGACAGTATCACGTAGATTAGAGAGCTCTATGGTTAGATAATTCAACGTGGCTTTATCATGGACGTACGGCGCTCCCGCAATATCATCAGTTTTCTGCAGTGTTGTCTCCATTGCCCTCGATGGATATTGCACCTCCACTGATGCCACCGTGGCCCCGCTTTCGTCCACGCGGGCCTCTCGAAGTTCCGGCTTGAATTGTGTGTGGTCACCCAGTCGCTTCTCTAGCTCCACCCGCAGCTGCTCGAGCGCGGAATGGCGGGAGGCTGCCCATCCATCTGCTTCCCTCGATTCACCACGTCGTTTTTTTGGTGTACCTTCCGTTTCTGTGGTGACGATATTTGATGCTTTCGAGCCAGCCTGGCTTTCACACCGTTTGGACCGTTGGTGTTGCTCTGATGTACGCTTTTGATGCTCCCCGTATATAATGTTGAGAAATCCACGCACATCGCTGCGACAAGAACCCCTTTCACTCTTGTTGTCTGTTGTTTCGCTCCGCACTGACCGTCTGGGGCGGTCGTAAGTCGCATCCAGGTTGAGTTTCCGCGAGGTTGTGGGACGACTACTTGCGGGTGAACCAAAGGTACCCTCTGTGTTCAGGCTCACACATGTTTGGAACACGGCCTCGTCCTCCCCATCACTCGCTGTTCCAAACGATTGGGCAGAAAACCCTCTCTGCTTCTCAGCAGTCAGCGTACCGTCCGTGTCGGGGCTGCTTGGCAGCTTCTCCATCGTAAGCAAATTCTTAGGATGGAAATAAAAAAAAAAAAATACAAAAAAATAGTAATCAAAATCATTTGCCTTGGGAGCAAAGCATCAATATAAACTCATAATTACCGAACAAGACAAACGTCCATACGCACAAGTTTTAAAGAGAAAATACAAACGCCGAGTAAACCAACCTACCATTGTTTATTTCACGCCGTTGCTATAGATTGATGACGCCTTTGAGTTTATGGGCATTGCGGCGATGTACATTCTCGCACGCGGCCCTAAAGGTTTTAAACTGCTCACGCGCCGCCGATGAGAGGGATTGCTCGAACGCACGCTGCTCACCCTCTCCAAGGTGAGCGAACCATCCAGTAAAGAGCTCAACAAAAGCGTACGGAAAGCCAAGCTCCTCCTCGTCGGTTTGCCCGTGCCACAAGTCTGCAGAAGGTGGCGCTTGAATGGTGTTCGCTGGAACGCCAAGCTCTCTTGCCACCTTGAAGACCTCACTTTTGTGGAGGTCCGAAATTAGCTGCACATCCACGACGCCGTCACCTGCCTTGCAGAAGTAGCCCAAGTAGCCGTCTTCGTCCATGTTTCCCGTGCCCATCACGATGGCAGGGGTGCCTTCCTGCCCATACAGCTGCGCCACATAGTACGCTGCGGGGGTGCGCATGTAGCTGCGCAGCTGCCCACGTGCGAAGTCCTTCCCTTCAATACGCACAGCTGCCTCGACGGTCTTCGACAACTGCTGGTGGAGTGCCGTCTGGTCAATGACAAGATTCTCCGCACCGCAGGACTGTATGTTCTCCCGTCCCCGCTCAAGTGCCCATGCGCTACTGCAGATTGGCTGGCACAAACCGACATTCTTCACAATGGGGCTGTTGGGCATGCGCTGAGCGTGTGCGCACAACGCCAGGACGACCGCCGAATCAATCCCACCCGAGACGCTCGTAACGCACACCTTGAGGCCGCTCTTCGCCATATATTCATTAAGCTTTGTACATTTGTTCTCAATCCATGTAGCCGGCGAAAAGGCACGTTGGATGCGGTACTCCTCGAGCTTTTCTTGAAGTTCCTTGCAGAGGGTAGAAACTGAACTCATCTCTACAGTTGCTTATGTATGTGTGTCTGTGTTTGATGGGTGTATATGTTGGTGTAGATATATGATTCTTCTGGATCCTTCAATGATTAACAAGCAAACAAAAAAGAATGAGGCAAGGGTCACACTTAGTCAAATGTAAAGAAACGATGATAAGAAAGGGAGAAACAAATCAACAGCGGGGGTAGTGGTGGGGAGGGGGGTGAAACAACCAAAAAAAAAATGTTGGGATAAATTACAGAAACCTTCCATAGCCTCATATGGCATACATTTTGAAGCACAACAAAAGGGAGCCTTGAATGCAAGTAGTTGTGTGTGTGTGTGTGTGTGTGTGGTGGGTGGGGTGCACAATACAGTCGTAAACTTCATTCTCTTTGTGTTACCAAAGGGAAATAAAAGCACAGATCCCACACCTTTAACTTGCCGTGTCCAAATCCACCGAAGTGTGCATGCTTAAGAGCAACATTCCACAGTACAAGCAGGCGATGCGTAAAAAAGAAGGCATTTCAGCCGCCAACTTCCGTTGAAAAAGAAGCCAATCGCAAAATGAACATATATTCAGATATATATATAGGGTAAAGCAAGCATACCATTACAAAGAGAGAACAAGTTACAGCTTTGAAGCAAAGTCATTTTATTCTCCCCTTTTCCTTCTCCTTACTTGCTTCCCCTCTACTTCTGTACATTCAATACTCATTTGTGGCATCGGCGTCACCAGTGGCAGGAGCCGCACCTTCCATTGCCAGAGCATCGTCCCCACCGTGAGCTGTCTTTTCGTCAGCTGGGTATTCTTCCTGGGCGTTTTCCCCTTGAGCTTGCACCACGGATGGACTTGTTTTGTCCACTGGGTACTCATCTCCGTCAGGAGGCGCGCTGTCATTGCGAAGTTCATCTGGAGGCACGGCGGGTTTTGTATCTTCAGCTGGGTGCTCCTCTTCCTTGGGAACTGCAGTGGCTTCCTGCAGATTGTCTTGCGGCACAACGGGAGTCACCTCCTCGCATGGATATTCATCTGTTTTGGGTTCCTCTCTCTCGGGTTGATCGGGCGGCACGGCCGAAGCCTCAGCCGGATATTCTTCTTCAGCAGCAGGAGGTGCCGCATCATCTGCAGGTTCTGGCCTCACGTTTGGTGTGTACACCGATGGTACCTGATTGCATATTTCTTCTTGCTGCTTTCCATCTGTTGGATGCACTGCTGCCGGATTGGACTGTCTCTTGCTGTACTCAATGGCCTTCGTCTCCGCGGCTGCGCCTCCCGTGATGTGCGGGTCGGTTCGCTTCGTGCGGAAGCTTTCCATGAGAGACTGCTTGTAGCTTGTCGCCTCTGTTCGGTCTTGTGAGCGCTGGTCTCGCTTGTACTCCTCCATGAACCTCTCCTGCCACAATATGCCCTCCATGATCAAGTCCCTTGGAACATCAGCACGGCTTCTACGCCGCTCGTCAATGTACGTGCGGAGTACCTCCTCCTTGACGGCCTCTTCATGTTCCGTCTCTTGAAGGTCAGACAAGTTCACCAACTCAGCGTGGCGCACCCAAGTGTCATCGTTGATGCAACTTAGGTAGTCACGGATAACCACATCGTCGGGAATCAAAGACTTGTGGATGGCGTCTTCGTCGACAATGAGCTCAGCGAGGGCACCCGTCGTAGCGCCTTCTGCCATACTGACCTTTGTGTTGTATTTGCTTTTGGGGGAATCACTTGTTTCGTTCCCTATTTGTTTCTTACCCTTTTTGCGAAGATTTCCCTCTGTATGCTCCTCTGCGGGGTCGCAGTAATTTATTTACACTATAAAATCTTCCCTCTTTTCAAAGCAAAAACAAAAAACAATAACATCGGAATGAGAGGAGGAGAGGCGTTCATTGAAGCGTCTTGAAGCACCGTCCCAGAAACGCCCACGGCATTCAGTATACGCACAGCAGGATGTATCGCCGATAAGGGGAGGGGAGTTAGTGGACGCATCTCACTTCTTTTGACTGCCACCAACACACCACAGGAATTGAAGGCAGTGGGAAGCAATTAGAAGAAGTTTCATACCATATCCTTCACACCAGTACGTTTGCATCTCTATTTGGCTTGCAGGATACTACATTAACCCTTCCCTGGTCACTAAATGTGTCAAGCAGCAAGAAAAAAAAAAGAGGACAAAGAAAGTCGATGGACCTCCACATTTATATTTCCACCCTCCACAGAAAAGCAACAAAAGGAAAGAAAAAAGAGAGGGGGAAAAACAAAAAACCCCGCAGAGAGCACAGCAATCACAGAGAGAGCATTCACCAGAACAAAAGATATTAGTATTTCTATAGGCGTCTATGGCACTAACAGGTTGTCCTTTAAAAGGAACAATAAAAAAAAAAAAAAGCACTCAACTTGTTGCCACACCGCTGCTGAAGTGAATCACGCCGCAGGCAACACCGTTCGCCTCAGACGCCCCGTGACGCATGACCTGTTCACTGTTGGGTATCGTCACCTCCGCCACACGCAGCTCAAACTTCTGTGAGGACCGTCGGTTCCATACCTCCTGATTGATCACCATCACACCCGACGCGGCCGTAGTGTCGTCAAGCTCCCACTCATCCCTCCGTGTGCTGGTCGCCGCATCCCTCACGCTGCGGTGCGTCACCACCACGAATCTGGGGCGTGTCGAGGGAAGAAACATTACGTGCGGAAACCACTCCGCTGAAGATTCATCAGTAGTCGTTGATTGCAATAGGTGAGACGGCTCACCGTCATCACGCTTGATGCGTTTGGTTTCCTGCTTCACATCATCAATCTGTTCCTCCTTTGCCGGCACGAAGGAGCTGAGACTATCCCACGTCAGCACGGCTGGCTGGCTGCTGTCTTCCAGCGTGGCTCCGGCCTCCGGCACGTAATCCATGCGGAGTGCATTCAGGTGCTTTATATCGTGCTTCACTGCTGGAAGCTCATAAATGGGAGCGTACAGACGGCTCTGGACGAGTGCCTCCACGACGCGACGAAGACTGCCTGTCTGCGTTGGCCACCGCTCCACCATTCGGTCTCGCATGTCGCCCACAACGTTTTCGTTGCATACGCCAAAGTGAATGCCGTTCACTGCGATGCGGCACGGATTCGAACGTACCCACACATCCTGCCCATCCTGTAGACCATACATGGTCGTTGGAATGACAGGTATCTGCGTCACATCGTCTTTGTGAGCAACCAAGACAACCTTGAGACGATGTCGCACGCGTGGGTTGCTGTTGACTGCATAGTAGTTCTCCATCGTCTCCTCAATCGTATCCATGTAGGTACCAAGAAGTTCATCAAACGTTGTCTGCACCGTCGCCATCAGATCCTTTTCAAACTCCTCAAATTCCTTGACAAGTGGCCCACCTATAATGAGCAGATCGGCGCCTCGCAACAACGCGTTCAGTGTCACCGCACTCAATATAGGAGGAATGTCACGCCGAGGGAACGGACCGCTACAGAAGTGGACACGGGTAGGAATTGGCGAAGGAAGCAGTGGTAAAGACGACAACGGTCGTTCAACACTCCACGGAAATTCTGGATACACAGGCAGAACAAAATTACGAACGAGAATAGCCGTCAAGGCACCAGACGAGCTGCGCCTAAAGGGCTCACCCACTATTCCAACCGCCATGCCAGGGTAGACGCCAGTGAATTGCTTCACCAGACGGGTGTAAAGTGAAAGCCTCTGTACATTATGACTGTTGAATGCGGTGTCAGGGGCCACTACTCCTGCAGCTGCGGCCGCCACTGCCGACGAGTCCCCCGCCGTGGTCTCGTCCCCTTCATTTTCCGCTTCAACATGAAGCAATCCATTAGCAGGAGCCGCCTCCTTTGTAAGGGCTTTAATGGGCTCAATGTACGCCTCATCATCTGCAATATCCATGATGGGAAAAAATTCCCACGGAAGTAGTAGTTCTTCACCGATTGCACTTGGGCTGCTCGTCTGGGTGAGGATCCCCAATGCACGAAACGATGACATTTCGGTATTGTTGCCTGGAATGGAGATTGCTTCGTCTACCACTTCACTCTTTATTACAGTGGATTCAACCCCTTCCACCTTTGTCTCGCTACCCAGCGCGGACTCCTCCCAGAGCGGGATCTTGGAGAACATGAGTCGGTAGTACTCCGCTAACCGTTGCCGTGTGCCCGCATAGCCGCTATCCTGTCGGTTGCAGTACAATGTGTCCTTGAAGGACACCGTGTCGCGTGCACACACACCAGCACCATCGGCGTTGGCCAAAGAGGTTTCGGGATCTCTGGAGATGCGCGCAGGCGGGTGCCCCGTGCCGAGTAGAAGGTCAAGATTAGCCGCTGGTTTCCAACGTGGCGCTTGCTGCATGGTAGCCCGTCGATCGCTCTCTACCTCTAAGCCTCATCAGTATTTAGACATATATATATATATATATTGTTTTGTAAAGGGAAACCAAACACAAAAGAGATCAACCAAAAGACATGGGCCTCCTTTTCACCCTCTCAAGGAGGCATACCAAAGTGATAAAACAAAAGTGCCACCACAGCAACATGCAGAAAAGAGATGTTGTCTGGGTGGAAGCTGCATTACTTCAAAAGCACATCCTAACGAAGAACAAAAACTTCCTCTTTGTTATACTCTCACTTAGGCAGTCGCCCCGAACTGCTGAATAGCGTCGTCAAGGCGTGCGCTCATGGCAGCAAACTGCCGGCTCCATGTCCCATCAACAGTAGCAGCTTGCTGAATGTAGCGGTTCATCGGATCTGCCGCCTTCCCAAGGAAAACAGACACAACGGCCAAGTTGGCTGTCGTGTCGGCATCGCTGGAACGCAAGGCCAATGCGTCAAGAAGACTGCGCTCGGCTAAAGCAAAGTCGCCAAGTCCCATTTGTGCAAGTGCCATCAAGTTGTGGGTTAGCACGCTGGGGCCACACCGCATCGAAACCTCTTTAAAACGCTGCATAGCCGTTTGATACGCATCAGAACTCTTTGCCCCTTCCTGGAGGCTTACTATACCGGAGTACAGCACCATAAGTGCGGATTCATCATCCAACTGCTCCATCGCCTTAAGCTCACTGCGCGCCAACTCCGGTCGTCGCATACGCAAGAGTGCTTCAACAGCAATGGCGCGCAGCTCCACGTGCTGACGCAAAGCAGCCGCTCCCTGTGGAGGTGGAAGCTCGTTGATCCAATGCTTCACCAGCTTGAGCGCCCCCGCATTATCCCCCGACGTGAGGAGAGCGCAACCGGTGAGCACTGCTACCTGGCAGTGTGCCACGTTCACCTCCTCTGCGGCTTCTGTCAACTTTGTCAGTGCTGCCGACGCGGAGGGGTTCAGCCCCACGTCGGATGGCTGATTCTTTACAGCCAAACAGAACTCTGCCCAGTTCTTCACAGCCCGCAGTGTTGGGTGCGTGGCAGAGGCCAATTGCGACACAACTGCATCACCTTGGCCAAGTCCAATCTGCGCAAGCGCAAGCAGTAAATCCTTCTCTGCGTTAAATGCTGCCACCTCGTCTGCCTTCCGAAGTGTGGTCTTTGCCCCACTTGCCTCCGCAACAACTTGATGATAGTTGCCCACTGTGAGGGCGTTGCGCACCTCATAGAAAGGATCCCCCATGATGTGCAAGTATATCTATTTTCTTTGTGTCTCTTCCTGAACAAACTACCAGAGATGGTAAGAGTTGCAGGAAGGCATTAAAGAAAAAAATATACGACACAGTACATACACAGACACACACGCGCAATAAAAATAAAAAAAAATTTAAAAATAAAAAGCAAAGTAATATGTATCTTATGATTCTTCTTAAAGAGATAAAGAAATATACTTCATCCATAAATGTAACCGCAATATGTCACCACACTGATTTATTCCCCGTCCTTTTTCGCTACTTCCCTCGATGAGGAATGCCAGACGCCCTCTTATGGTTCCATTCCAGTCGTGCGGAAGAACTCAAGCGTTGCCTCAACGCCAACAAAGGCGGCGCCGTTCGCGGCAAACGCGCGCACGAGGGCAGGAGCAATCCCGCAATAGAGACCTGCAAAGCCACGACGGCTATACAAACGCCTCGCACATCGTGTCCATACCAATGGCTCACCCTCCTTGGCCACCTGTATTCGTGTCTTGATGGTGTCAAGGGGGAATATGACGATCCACTGCGCCACACCAGAGCAGCCGCCGGCGAGTAAGATGCGTGGGACGCTGTAGTTCTTCTCGCCACCAATCATCTGTATAAAAGCACTGTAGGTACAGAGATACACACCAGCCCCAGGAATATCCCGAATCAAAGTCGCACTATACCCCTTAAAGAACACTTTGAGGCCGCCACTCGCATACAAACGTCGCGCGCAGTGCACAGTCCCAAAAGATCGTCGGTTGGGGAAGAGATGCTCCGTCTGCCGGTGTATCTTCACCACTTCAAAGGGATTCATGACCGTCGCATACGCCATGCCGCCCCCACTAGACGCAATGAAGTTTTCAAAGGCGCTCAGCCCCCCGCCTGTGCGGAAGTGCTCTGAGAGGTCTTGTTTTTGATACGTCTCGGTGGCATTGCTTTCAACCATACCTCTGCGCCCATATTCACTGCCGTCCGTGTACTGAAATGTGGCTTGGTCATCATCTTCGTAATAAAACAGAGATGACTGACTATGAATAAAAAAATTAACTATTGTGCTATATATACCAAAGAGAGCCCCGTTGGCAAATCCCACGGCACACATAGGGGCACATACACCCTTGTAAAAGGCTCGAAATCCCTCCTTGTGGTACAACTCCATTGCTGCTCTGCAGCTGCTTTCCGTGGCCGGTGTCACCGAGGCCAGCACGCGTGGCGCACTCACGCTTTGCTGCCAAACCTTTATTGTATCAAACGGGTGCCCTACAAGCAGCACCGCGATTCCGCCCATCCACCCGGCCACAAAATCCGACATGGAATGCTATATATATATATATATATAGATATAGTTCCGTGGAAGCACACCTGCTTACATTAACCCTCCAACTAACCAAAACAAATGAAAAGATCAGTCACTGTACTTCTCACCTGTAAAAAGAAAAAAAAAAGGACAGCAAAGCCCATGTGTAACACACATGATTGTGAAAGGAAAAAAAAACCGGAAGAGACATATGAATCTGATGGGTTTAGAAGCAAGAGTGAACAAAAAAGAGGCGTTCAATTCTAAGCGACAGGAAGATGCTTTACCTCTTTTCACCTCGGTCTGGCCTTTTATTTGCATTAAAGCTCGCATCGTGGAAGTTTTCCAGAAGTAGGTCTGTGAGATATCAAGCAACAACACTGTGAAGGACATCATGCTACCAATACACGCTCCCATTCCCCCCAAAGTCCTTTCACCAGCACGTGGGAATTTACCCCGGGAGGCAATACAATACGTGATGTAGTCAAAACGCCCATGCCTGTATCGTTGTGTTTTTTGAACAGAAAAGAACAAGAATCACAGATGCAAAAAGGTGAATATGCTCTTCACACGCACACCTTTTTCTTTTTTTTGGTCTACTGGATCTTGGCCTGCGCACAAGCACATCGCCCAGAAAAATTACAGCACACATGTAGCAGCGAAAAGGCGATAAGTTTGTTGGCTCTGCCGTTTGCACCTCACACTCCTTCCTTCCATCTCTCTCTCTCTCTCTGTCTCACACACAAAGGGTGTGTGTGTGTGTGTGTTTATATGTATGTGTGTGCCCGCTCCGCTGATTGAAGCAGTTACCCCCACCGTGCATACCACCCGCCGCGGTCTTATCACACCAGCAGAAAAAAAAAAACCTCCCACCCTCACTACATGTAATAAGGTAGTGGAGAGATCTCATTCCCACTTTGCCTTCGGATCCGGCCCCCTCTCCTCTTCACAAGGGGGAGCATTGATGGCATCACGTGGTAACGCCAACTCGGCGCTGCCTGTCTGATCATCCAGAAAATCTTCCAAACCCTCCCCTTTACCTTTTAAGAGAGACTGCTGCTGTTGTTGCTGCAACTGTTTAACCAGGTAGTTCTCGTTTTTTGTTGTGGTGCTGCCACCACCCAAACTGCCGTTCTGGAACGCCTTCGTCTCATCACAGTCAATCGGAGATGGCTGCATCGCCTCACCTTCCACAATAACGGGCTCAATTACGTCACTCTCACCCTCCTGTAAGTCTTTCGGGCGAGATCGAGAGGGGACTGTTCGTTTGAACTGAACAATAACAACAGACATATTGTCACATCCAAGACCAAATGGTTGGGGCGACAGACACCGTTCAATAAGTTCCTCTGCAATCTGGTCTAGGGGAAGCCGGCGCTGAACACGCAGACGCACAAACTCTACTACTTGCTCATTGCTCATCACATCCCATATACCATCGCAAGCAATAACGGCAAACTCGTCTCGATCGCGATTCAAACGGACAAAACGCACTTCAGGTGCACTCGTAACAGCCTGCTGGTCCCACGACACCTGTGTGTTACACTTAAAGCTGAAGTCTCCAATAGCTCGGCTAAGCGCCAGAGCACCGTTGACACGGCGGTTCCATACATACCCGCCTGCTCTTTCTATTCTTGATTGTTCTCCTGGGAGAAACGGTTTGTGGTCGCTGCTGAGCGCCACGGGATCTCCGTCGCGGCACAGAACGGAGCGGCTATCTCCTGCATTGCCGCAGTACAGCTCATCATCCGTAACGAGTAGTACCACTGCTGTACAGCCGCTCCTCTCATTACCATGATTGGTGTGCAAATGTTGGTCAATTGAAATGAAACCGTCGTAAAGCGCTTTTTGATAGTTCTTCTCCGCAAACGCCTGCGTTTTTGAAATAAAATTAAAGATATTACCACCACAGAATTTTGCCGCACTTGAACCACTATGACCGTCAAACACACCGAAGAAACCACCACCGTCGCACAGCATTGCCACGTGATCATCTTCCATTGTACGACGCCATCCTTGCATGCAGCTAAATCCATACGAGAGCCACGGGTTTTCTCCTCGTTTAGACACCTTTTGAACATTTGGCTGATGCATGATGTCGGCGCGCCTAAGCAGATCATGGTAGTCGGCTTCATCACCTGTCACAGCCACGAACCGGAAGAGGTGCTCCAGGAGGTTAAGGGCCCCCAGGAGCCAAAGAAACGCCAGGAGTAGAAGTGCCGTGAGGGGGCCAAATCGTGTTGCAGCCCAATAGGTGACGCACATCGATGCAATGAACAAAACAAAAGAGTGGATGAGGGTAATGCGCCTGTTCGGAAAGGCCCTTGGGGGCAAAGGGCGAATTGGTTTCCCACCAGCCATACTTTTTTTGTTGATGTTATTTTTTTTTTCTTGACTTCGCTTGTAAGTACGAGCGCACAGTGGCTGCCTGCTTCACACAGTGTGTTTCCTAGCTAGGAGTAGAGAGAGTACCTAAT